CTTTACGGGAACAGAAAGCCTCATCTTTCTCCCGCGGAACAGCTGGTAGTTTCGAACTGCTGACTGTGAGGTTAGCAGCCCAATTTGTAACCACTATGGTACCAGAGCTCGGCAAAAAAGAGGAAGACCGCCCCCAGTGGTGAGGGAAGAACCCCCCTAATCCCCCAGTGGAGATGGACTCACACATAAAAACAATTGTGACCACCGGTGCAGGACTGGATAGTGTTTCCTTCTGTTGTGTATGGAGTTGTAACAAATTCAATGGCATCTAACAATAATAACACATGTGATTAGGGAGCCTTGGAGGCACCGTGGTTAAAGTGCTTGGCTACAAACCAAGACAGGCGGTTCAGGCACATGAGCAACTGCATAGGTGGCAGTCATAAGATTGTTGTTAAGTGTCATCGAGTCGGTTCTGACTCAAAGCAACCCTGTAGAGGGTTTCTGAGGAGCAGCAGGTAAGTTTGAACCGCTGACCTTGCAGTTCAAGCCAACCTCGTGGTCCAGTGCTCATCCCACAGTGCCACAGCAGGACTCCAAGTCTAAGACTAAAGCATTGGAAACCAGTTCAATCAGACTCATAGCGACCTCATGCAATCTTTACGGAAGCTGGTCTTTCTTCCTTGGGGCTGCTATGTAAAGATACAGTCTAGGAAACCCTATGGGGCAGTTGTACTCTGTCACATGGGGTTGCTAGGAATCTGATTCAACTGAATGGCATCCCCAAACAACTATAGGAAAGCAGTTTTGAGTCAAATTACCAGTTTTTATTAACTTTTGCCTTTCAAGAAAGCATTCCAACTGCTTGCTCTTTTGTTGTTGCTGTTATACAGTGCTGGTTTCAATTCAGAGACCCTGTGTAGGGTTTAAACCTTTGCATGAGCAGAAAGCCTCATGTGGAGCAGCTGGTAGGACTGAACCATGAACCTTGTGGTTCATAGTCCAGTGCTTATTGCATGAAATCACTAAAGCACGAGTCATCTGAAGTACATCTGAAAGCGGCAACAAATATTTTTTATAAAAAAACAAAACAAAACAAAAGAAGCTTCCAAGTGTTTTCGACCTAAGTGCATCCTGCTGTCTTAGTCCTTCCGTCACTGCCAACTGTGGTGGGGTAGGAGTAAGTGCCGAAAGAGACGGATTTATCCTGTCCAGTGTATTTATTCCAGATTGTATTTTGGGATCAAATCTGACAAGTAGTAGACTAAACCATCACTTTCTGAAGACACAGATTCTTGATGAGACATTTAAAAGCCAGGCTCCGCTGTTCAGCAAACTTTGGGGACAGGGCTAACTGGGTTATAGGGCGATAGACACATTATCCTGGGGAGACACAGGCTCTAGGGACTTGCTGCACTGGGCTTAACTTGCTGATTACAGGTTACCAATTACTGCTATAGAACACACTCAAGTTTGCACATAAAAACTACACTGAGAAACGTTAATCACATTCTATGTTGAAATGAAGTAAACACTGGCAGATGGTCACACTACTCACACATACACATCCCCTCCAAAAAAGCAACCAACCAACCAACCTACTAAAGACTCTAACAGAGGGCAGCTGGCAAACAGGGCAAGAAGACAATGGACTCCAAAACTCAGAAATATTCACTGCTGTTTGGAGTGACCCCGTAGGATTGAGCAAAATTGCCCCATGGGATTTCCAAGGCTTTTATCTTTAAAGAGGCAGGCTGTCATAGCTTTCCCCAATAGAGTGGCTGCTGGGTTTGAACCACTGACTTTCAGTCAGCAGCATAATCATTGTATCACCAGGGTTCCTTTGATAATGGAGCAAGATATTCAATTTGTTGTTGTGATGTGAAGTGCTGTCAAGTTGGGGCACCAGGGATCAAAATGTTGTTGTTGTTAAGTGCCGTCGAGTCAGTTCCGACCCAATACAGAGTTTCTGAGGCTGTAAATCTTAACGGGAGCAGAAAGCCTCATCTTTCTCCTGCGGAACAGCTGGTATTTTCGAACTGCTGACCTTGCGGTTCACAGCCTGATTCGTAACCACTACGCTACCAGAGCTCCTATTTAGTTGATCATTATTTTAAGAACTTTGTACTCTCGCATCTTTAAATGTTATGTCCCTTTAGGGCCTTTGCATTTGAAACACTACTGAGTCTACCCCTCCTCCGAGACTGAAACTCAAAGGGAACACATGAGCAGGCATGTAAGTTTGCTGGCGACCACACTGGTCTACTGGTGAGTGGAAGAGGGGGAAAGGTAGCAATGAAGAAATGGGCTGAGTTCAACCATGTTCCACAGACTCCCACTGACCTGGAAAAAAGACAGAGAAGAAGAAGTGCTGGTTGGTCCAAAGTGTGGTGAGACCTGGGGACTCCTGAGCCCATGGACAAGGACACAGCCACGGAGGGCTAGAGCTGAGAGTGAAGCATCCAGCGGATATGAAGTGAGGGGAGAAGCACAGGAACTTCCAAACTTGCAGATTGTACCCATTTGACCTACCTTTGATGGTTTCATAATCAGAATTCGACTAGAGGAAGATAAATTTTTGATAAAGGAAAAGAGAGTAAATTGCTACAATTTGATGTACTTGACCTATACTTAATGGATGTGATGGTGGTGGTTGTGTGCCGTGGAGTCGGTTGCAACTCATCACGACCCTACACAGGGTTTCCGAAGCTGTAAATCTTTACGGGAGCAGAAAGCCTCATCTTTCTCCTATGAAACAGCTGGTAGTTTTGAACTGCTGACCATGAGGTTAGCAACCCAATTTGTAACCACTACATTACCAGAGCTCCTTATACTTATGGATGTAGCAGCTCAAAACACCAACTAAGAGGGAAGGAGTCTTCACATCAAGTATCAATCCTATCCCCTCTGTATACACAGCAGATAGGGACAGGCAACTTAGACACTGGCTACCTAAAATGAGGGGGTGATAAAGGCACAAAGTGACCGGCTTACAAGTTTTCAAGAGAGAGTTTAGTTTAAGAGTGTGCGGTGGAAGAGTCACCACTGAATAGTTTTCATCTAGTCTAGATGGGTCTGGTAAAAAGAGATGGGGATAAGATTCTTACGATTCAATAGTAATAGTTATCATGGCTAATTGTGACTGAAAGGTAAAAGTTTTATAACAAAAACAGGGGAATAGTTAATCTTACAGTCCAGAAACAGAGGACCCTAAAACTGACAAGAAGAAGAGCACAAACAGAATGCGGGACCCTATCCAGAGAAGCAGCGACACCAGAGATAGGAGCAGAGATGCAGACATGGAGGAGCTGAGGACTCTAGACTCATGGAGAGAGAGGGACTGAGTACTGGCGGCTAGGAGGCAGGCTTGCAGAATGTGCCCTTTGGTTATTTAAATTATTATATATTCCTGAGTGTTTTTGTATACAGCCTCTGCCCTGCCCCCCCCACCAAAAATCAAAAACAAAACCAGAGGGAATAGAAACAAATACTGTTGAATGATGATGCATAGAGGAGACTGTAATCATTGCAATGAAATGGTGGCGTAAAGCTGATGTTCCCCCATGTAAACTATCACTCAGTTCACATTAAAAAAAAGCAAAACAAAGCCATATAATGTGTGCAAAAAAGAGCAACGACTGCAACCACAAAACAACTTATGATTGTTTTTAAAAACAGTCTATTTAGAGAAGAGAAAGCTCTTGAAGAGAACAGAAATAAGTAAACAAGAGGCTTGATAATAATGTTGAAAAAAGGCAAAGACATGGAACAGCAAACATGAGAGAAACGATCAAGCCACTGGAGCCATTCAGGAGGCACAAGACTCAGCAGAAATGCCAGAGTGAGAACAGATTTCTTACACTGAAAGACATGAGTTTTCTGATGGACACATTTCTCAGAGCACTCAGCACACTGGCTTAAATAGAGACTGACCTCAAAGCAGAATACTGAGAACTTTCAAGACCCAAGAGTCCTGGACTGCAAGGTCGGCTTAAACCACAAGATCAGCAGTTCAAGCTTACCAGTTGCTCCTCAGAAACGCTATAAAGAGTCACTATGCGTCAGAACTGACTCGATAGCACTTAGCAACACCACCAGAAGCGAGAAGATCCTCAAAGCTTTCAGAAGAGTCAAGCAGACTGGACTGCACAGAAAGTACTACAAAGTATAGTAGTTGCAGCCTACTCCGCTGCTACCCTGGGAGCACAGGACAACAAGGACTTCAACATATGGAGGGAGGGTGATTTCAAATCTAGAACGTTATCCACAGTGAACCCTCAATGAAAATCGGGGGTGGGGGTGGGATAAAGACAAGTTCAGATATACGAGGACTCAACAAAGGGACCCTCTATACGCTGTTTTTAAGCAACTACTAAAGGATAATGTGTTCTATTACGTGAAGGCTCATAGGAAGAATAAAGAAGACAGTACCCAACACTCAACAGGGGAGTGAAAAAAATGATGAAGATACACTCCAGGGTCAATACACACCTCAAGACAAAATATTCGGATTGGACAGTCTGAATTGGAAAGATATGGTTTAAGAAAATAAAAAGCAAACGAAATAAGGATCCTGGAAGAAGGGAACTACAATCATGGCATACTTCCTGAATATTTGCATAATCACTAACTTAAACACATGATCGATCGATTTGGGAGACTGGTAGAAAGGGTTGAAGGTGAGTGTGTGGTGGGAAGGGATAAGCGCTAAATCTTTTAAGTACTATCAGCAGGTATCTAAAAATGGAAAGAAAGAAAAAAAGTAAGTAACAGCTTTCCACTAGTCAGTTGCTAACCTAAAGGCTGTCAGTTAGAAACCATCTAGAAGCTCTGGAGGAGTTAAGTCTCCTGGCTGAGATCTGCTTCTGTTAAGATTACAGTCAAGAAAATCCCACGGGCCAGTTCTACTCTATCACAAGGGACCACTGAGTCAAAATCGACTCAATGGCACCCAACAATAACAACAAAATAAAACTTCATGACTTTGTAATCTACAGACATGTTATAGCTGATAAAAATAAAAATAAAAGTGAACTACATCTTCCAGATGACCTACTCACCATCTCTCTGGCTATTTCCAGCGCCTCCTGCAGGCCATAGAGCCTGCCGCAGACCAGGTAGATTCCATTGGCCCAGAGAATACAACCCTCATGGACCCAAAATTCATTGCTGTCAAGAGGTAGTTCAGGGATTTGTAACTCCAGCTCGGGACCACCTTCTGAAGTGGTTGGCAGACAGGATTTTGAGTCCAAAGCAGTCTTTTCGCTGCTGCCCTCGGTGGTTGCTTTTTTACAAGGGAGCCCCCGGGACAGGGACCGAGGGCCTCCGCTACAGTCTTCCGAGCGGTGTCGCCGCTTAAACCTGGGGTGGGCAGCCAGGCTCCTCTGCTCCTTCTGCTGTTGCTGCTGCTCTTCCTCCTCCTCAGTGTCCGTCTTGGAGCCGTTGGAAGCGCTTTTGTGCCGTACCTTAACTTTGCTCTGCATTTCCGTTGCGCGCTTAGGAGGTGGATTCTTCGGGAGAGTGGCTGCATAATCTTGGGGATAAAAGGGTCCAAAGAGGTCGCCCATGTTCCGGTAACTGGCCCACTTGCCACACAGACAGCAAACCAGGTGCCCCATAACAGAAGACTCAGTCACAACAGGGCCCTGCAGCATAAAGGAAGAAGCGGGCAGTGCCTTGCTTTCAGTGATACTGGGCGGAGGGGTCAGGGACCTCGGACCCTTCCGGCCCCTCACCAATTTGGTCTGCTCTTCTTCTTCAGCATTGATGATTGTACAAACAGCTCCGAGTTCACACTTATTTACTACATGGATATAAGGGAAAAAAGACTTGTTCTTGGCATCGGTTTTATCGAGTGGCTGAGTGGCGTACTTCAGTTTGATCTCAGGTTCTTGGGGTTCTACGATGGGAACTGCTTGTTTGGTTTTCCGCTTCCGGGGCTGTGCCCCAGGCTTCCGTCTCTCCCTCCTTTGCCTCTGTTTTTTGGGCTTTGGCTCTCCATCTGCAGAGCCTTGTGGTATATGAGGGGGCTGAGGGGGCGGGAGAGGGGGCTGCTGCTGTTTCTTTTGCTTATTCACGCTACCAATGGGTCGTCCCTTCTTTTTTCCTGATGGGAAATATCCCTTGGGAGGAAAACCCTCCTGTTTGGGTGAAATGGTTACCGTCTCCCCCTCTTTCTCTTCGGTCTTGGGGTTTGCCTCAGGGGCCAATATGCCTGCTGGAGAGACAGTCTTTGAGTCTGGAAAGATTAAAGGTGCTGTCCCACCCAGGGAACCATCTGGTCGCCCTTGGTTACTGCCAGGCTTCTGTGAGGTCAAAGACGCCATGGCACCAGGGAGTTCCTTTCCAGCAGTAACCGTTTCTGGATGTGTCTCTGTCTTGACTTTATCGTCCCCACTGCCACGCCACTCCTCGGAGGACCTTGGAAGAGGCTTTTCAGCGTTCAACTCCTGGTTTGTGGGACTGACTAGGTCAGACACCACCTCACCTTTTCTCTTCTCCACCTCTACTTCCTGGACAGCAACACTCCCACCTTCAGGAGGGCCAGTCTTCAGAGACAGTATGTCATCAAGAGTAACCGTGTCTCCACCAGCCTCCGCACTGTTTGACGACGCACTCCTTCTAATGTTTGGGGATGTGATCTTCTGCACAATCGCTTCCAACTTCAATCCCCGTCCTTTCCGAGGGGGCAGGATTTTGGTCTTAGCAGGGCTTGTGAGGGTAACAGCTGGGCAGTTTCTAGTCTCAGGACTTGTGAGGTCCTTGGAGGACTCTCTCTTAGGGAGCCCCTTGATCTCCTGACTGTGAGAAAGATGGGCATAGGAATTGAAGGCTTTCTCAGCACCTTCTTTCGATGGGGGAAGGAGGCGTCCTTTATCTTCAGTGTTACTGTTCTTCACATCTTGTGACTGTCTTTTACTGGGAATGGGAGAGATAAAAGAACGGACACGCCTCCTCATGATTAAGGGGTTTTGAGGAGAATGATCCTCTTGACCTGGAAGTCTCAGCATAACATTACTAGGTTTAGATGACTGGGCAGACTCAGTTAGCCCGTGTCCATCCGTCTCATGAGGCGGGCCATACCGTTTCTGATTGGACATTCCTGGAGGACCACTGCTTTTGGCTGGAGAAGTCTGTCGAGAAAGATCCCAACAAGACTCTTGTTGTAACTTCTGGGAGCCGTGCTTCAGTTCCATGCCTTTGGTTGGCAGACCATCACTAGACAAGAGGCAGCGTCCAGCATCCTGACTGCTGGGGTCATGGTAAGTGCCCATTGGTGGGCCATACATCATCCCGTCTTTGTCATTTTTCAGAGGACTCCGCACTCTGTCGAGAAACTGCTGCTGCCTGGGGCTCTTGCGTGGCCCCTCCTGCCTGTGCTGGGCAGCAGCGATGACCCCCTGAGCCGAACTGCTGCTCCAATCCTTATACTCCTCCTGCTGCTGTTGGTACATCTGCCGCTTATAATGGAGCTGAGAATTCAAGCCCGCGCTTGGGTCTCCGTATGCATGAGCCCGAGCATTTGCGTGGTAAGCGGAGGCCAGGCTTTCTGAGTTGGGAGAAAAGGGAGCGTGTAGAGAACTCCTGTTGGCCCTCTCTGAGAAGGTCATATGTGGGTTCATGTGATGAGGGTCCCCCCCAGGGCCTCGGCTCCTCCCAGGAGATATCTTCAATTTTTCTGAAAAGTCGTGATACTGAGAATGGGACCGACCCCTCATCCCCTCCCGGCCACCAACTCTGCCAGGAACCCGCCGCATCGGTGTGGGTCTGCTCTCTTGCTGAGGGCCATAGTCTGAGATGGACTCGTGGGCTGCTGCTCCAGGGCTGGCATTGCCTCTGTAAGACTCATGCTTGATACTGGTAGGATGGCAGTGGTCTCCAGATTTCTTGTTGAAACTTGCCTGGGATTTGGATTGCTCAAAGTCTTCCTCTTTGATCTGCCCACTCTGGGACTTCAGCTTTGCTTCCATGGACACTAACCCACCTGGCAGAATGACTGACTGACTTAAACTTGGATTGAGACGCTCACTCCTTCCCATTCTGGTGTCAGCACCCATGTGTGCCAGTGAGTGAGCCCCTGGGTCCCTGACAATCTGTCTTAGTGGAGATATGTCACAGATCACCGATCTTCTTTCTGAGAGAGAACCCCCAGGCTCATGCACTGACGACTGAGGATCTATTTCAAACTTTCTGGGAATTGGATAGTCAGCCAAATTGATCTGTTTCATTTCAGGGGCTGTGCTGCTTGATTTCCTTTCCCAAGGGCCCCAATGGGGGTTCTCTAATAGGGACCCTATGCTTTTGTTCAGAAGGCCCCTGCTAGCTAATTCATTGGTTTGACTGACCAAGACATTAGGTCTCGAGGTTCCTTCTAAGCCCCCAGCCATTCCCTGGTGCTCCTGGGTGCTTCTAGAATATCTCCTCTCAGGGTGGTGGTGGTAACCCTGAAGTACCTCCTGCAGGAGGCTGGGGAACTTCTCATTTCTACCCTTTCGTTCCCCATGGCCAGTGAAATCCCCCTTTTCTTGCCCTGTAGGATACTGAGGAAAGCCACTGACATTTCGTGGCATGGCTGATCCAAAACTATCTTTGTAACTATAGCGCAGGCTTCCAGGAGATTTGCTTGCCTCAGTTCTTCCTGTAAAGCTAGGGCCCACGGCCGAATGCCCACTCTGGCCATTCCCCTCTCCATTGTGGTTAGAGTTATTATCTCCATTCTTATTCCCTTTGCTTCCTCCTCCTGGAAGCTCTGGTTGTGGAAGAGTTGCATGGCTGGCATCCTTTGCTCCACCAGTGCTAGATGGCCTTTGAGTGGCCACCGGATCATCCTCTGGGGAGCCCTTGTCTTGTCCACCAGTCTTTTCCACTCGACTGGCCATGGCTTCCCGGGAGACAATCACCCCGACTGTCTTCTCATTGACTTTTGGGTTACCCTCAGATGACAACGGTGTGTCTTTGGCACCTGGTGAAGCGGCCTCTTCTCTTGTGGCAGGACTGGCACTGAGCCGGGATGGTTCATTATGAGTGCCTTGTGCTGGTGAGGAGCCAGCTTTCTCTGAGGCGCCCCCCTTGTAGGTGGTGTCAGAGCTGGTGCTCTGGCCACTCAGCTGCCTCACTCTCTCACCTTGATCCTCAGAACTGCTGGAGCAGCCTCCATCCAACGATTCTGCCATGGGGGACTTCAATTGTTCTTCAGGCTGTGAGGAGCCTTCCGAGTTTGTGCAGCTGTCTGCTTTCTTAGAAGATGAGGAGGGCCTCTTGGAGGTCTTCTTCTGAGGTGTCAGGGCATCAGAGAGTAGCATGTGCTGGACAGTATTGGGGAGATTGGCCACCTGAGTACTCAGGGCACTCAGACTACTCAAGCCTGGATCTGTCAGTCGCTTTTCTGGCATGCCTTCTAGTCCAAACCCTTTGAAGCCTGCGGCATGAGAATTAGGACTCGGCATCATTGATGGGGTGGGACTGAGTTGAGGCATTAACTGTAAAATTCTGTTTCTGGAACCCATGGGCACACTGCCTTGGCCACACTGGAGATTCTCCCCACTTTGCATGAGAGGAGACGGGGTAGAGCTACAGCTTGGAGACTGAACCACAGAGGCAGCTGGAGAAGGGTTTGAGATAGGACTGAAGTTCTGATGGAACTGCATGGGGGACCGCACAGGGACTTCGGGCTGGTTGTACTGCCCCACCTGGCTCTGCAGAGGCAGCTTGCTGGCAGTGTTGGTATACTGCATCACATGTTGAGGGGGATGTTGTTGTTGTTGTTGTTGTTGTTGTGGTTGTTGCTGTTGCTGCTGCTGCTGCTGCCCTTGCTGACTCCCTTGTGGAATCTTTGCCTGCTCAAAATTTTTCATAGATTGAGGCTGATAGCTGTAATTTGATTGTGATCCATAAGCCTGTGTGTTAGAACCCACATTATGTCCCTCATACTGGGAACCAGCATTTACACTGTAGCTGCCATCATAGCTCTGTCCAGATTGGCTGAAACGCTGTGGTGAAGGAAAAGAAGAGGAGGAGGAGGAAGAGGCAGGAGACTGGTAGTGTTGGCCAAATTGACCCACTCTCAACTGGTAACCAGTAGCAGAGGATGGCAGGGTTGAGGGCCGCTGCATTGGCTGTAGATGGGAGGAGCTGGAGGCTGCTTGGCTGGTGGCTTGTGGCAGAGGCTGATGGGACTGGTAAAGCTGCTGTCTCAACTGCTGCACTTGCTGCTGCTGCTGCTGCTGCTGCTGCTGTTGGCTGGAAGCCTGCTGCTGGTACTGAGCGCTCCCTGGAGAGAAAGGCCCCGTGTAATCCTGCTGATAATGAGACACACCACCAAGGGCAGAATGCTGTGCTTGAAACTGGCCCACATGACCCTCACTCCCATACTGATTGCCAAAGCTGCTCCCCTGAGGGGGGCCATAGCTCTGCACAGGCCCAGAAGGCCTTCGCTGAGGAGGCTGCGGGGTTCCTGTTGCCACGGGGTCTTTGTTGCCTGCCATATAGTAAAAATCGCCAGCTTCTTTCCGGAAACCCTGGTAGCCTTGATGACCAGAGGTTTCGCTAGCCATTGCTGCTGCTGCAGCTGTTGATCCTCGCCGCCCACCACTGCTGCCACCACTGCTGCCACTGCCACCACCTCCAGCGCCAAAATTCTGGAACATCTGGGCCTGACGAGGGCTGAACTCTTCTATCCGGGATGAGCTGTGTACCTCCTGCGGGTAGCTCGGCTGGTTTCCGTGGTAACTGCTTTGCTCCCGAAAGGACTGCATACTGTTCAGCAGCACAGCGGCAGGCCAACAGCCCTCCTGGAAATGGAAAGGAGAGAAAGAAGCAGATCAGACAAGCATCTCCTCAGTACAAAGAAATCAAGTCTTGGTTACGAAGGGAGATGATGCTTCAGGTGCCCAGATGAAGCTCACTAGTCTGAATTTCACCTCCTTCTATTTCTTATCCTATCCATTTCTTAAAATGCAAATAAGCTGAGAAATGGCGTGATATGTGAGGCAGAGGAGTCTATGGGAACGAAAAGAAACAAGCAGGGTAAGTACAAATTCAATAGAGTAAGAACCTCATATGAGGGGCTTAAAAAAGGTTTGTGGAAAAATGGGATTAAGAAACTGGACTCTTCCCAGAAACGTTTGAATCTCCCAAGGAGATAAATGGGCTCCCTCACATTCCACTGGGTTAAAATATGGGGATGTGCTTATTACTAGGAAAAATTAAAACAAATCTTCTCCCAAAAGGGTAGCATTTGCCCCAAAACAAAGCTCAGAAGGCAGGAAGCAGCAGGAAAGAAGGATAATGGAAACGGGGATGCCAGCCTGGGAGGCAGTGGGAAGAGTTCTGGTACAAGGAGGGAACTGCACTCAATGCCAGGAAACAAAATGTGTATCAATTGTTGAAAGGAAAATTGTTGAAAGTTTAAATTTGCTCTGTAAACTTTTACCCAAACCACAATTAACAAGTAAGACCAAACCAAACAAAAAACCAGGTCTTCCGGTTACTGTGGGGGACTGGGGGTGAGAAACACACTTTCATTTCTTTGCTATCATGTAAGACTGATCACTGAACTGAGACTCTAAACAATAATGCGGCTGTTGTTCCACCTGTTGCCCAGCCACTCCTATCCCCTCCCTGTGAGAAATGGAACTGGCCTGAGAACAAAAATAAGACCCTTATATCTACATGCATATTACTTCAGGACTGACTTCTGCTGACCCTAGGACATGCAAACCTCATCACCTACACAATTTCTTTACGAGACTGGCAGTCAACTACACAGATTTGAGAGCCAATCTCTTCTCACTGCATAACTGGACCCAAGGCACCTCTCTCAACTATTCATCCAATGACCCTTCCCAAAGTTATCTGATTGACCCAACACTTTGCATTACTCCTTTCAAAACAATAAACTAAACTGAGTTTTAGTTCACTTCTTGCTCATACAAGGTCGCTAAGAGTCAGAATCGACTTGTCTTCCTCCCAGGTTCAGAGATGAAGAAGACAGAGCCAGACTAGCTCCAAATGGCATTAAAATCACTTGTGGGAACACCTAAGGGGTACAGTGAATTATTAGTAGGCAACGTTCCTACAATGCTTTAAGAAGCTTGTGCCTTCCCTCCCCGGAGCCATCAGTGGCACTGCCTGCGGATTAAGCCAGTGATCCTTGTAAAAGACACGTCTGATTTCCATCTTATTTCAAAACTCCACAGTGGAGCCTCAACTCCTTCAGCCTACCCCATAAACTCTAGTTTCATCCTAGTGCCTGGAATGGTCCCCTACACTCAGAAACTTTGCTCTCACTTGAGATGCTTATCTGCAGTCATGTTCAGTCTGGCCACTGTCACTGTAATACTGGTCAGGGTTCTGTGTCAATTCGACTAGGCCAGAATTTCGAGAGGTTTACCAGTTGAGAATGTGCTCATTCCATGGTGACAAAATCTAATACAGGCACAGCTAACTCTATGATAAGTGGCTATGAGTAGCCAATCAACTAAAGGGATGTTTCCTTAGGGGTGTGGCTTGCTCCCAATATAATGAACACAACATGTTGTTAAGTCAGTTCCAACTCATAGCGACCCTTTACAGGGTTTCCAAGGAGTAGCTAGTGAGCTTGAACTACCTACCTTGCAGTTCAAACCAACCCTGCAGTCCAGGGCCACACCAGGACTCCAAGACTAAATCTCTCTCTTTCTTCCACTGGGGACCTTGTTGTTGTTATGTGTTCACAGTGGAGTTGGTTCTGACTCATAGAGACCCTGTACAGGGTTTCTGAGGCTCTGAAATCTTCACGGGAACAGAAAGCCTCCTCTTTCTTCCACAGAACAGCTGGTAGTTTTGAACTGCTGACCGTGAGATTAGCAGCTCTATTTGTAACCACTACGCTACCAGAGCCATTTCCTTCATAATAAACTTCTTTTTGGTGGTGGTAATGATGTGCCATGGAGTTGGAACCGATTCAAGCGACCCTGTACAGTTTCTGAGGCTGTATATCTTTGTGGGAGCAGAAAGCCTCATCTTTCTCCCACGGAACAGCTGGTAGTTTCGAACTGCTGACCTTAAGGTTCGCAGCCCGATTCATAACCATTATGCTACCAGAGCTCTCTTTATATATATACATGTATACATGTAAATGTTTCACTGGTTTTGCTTCTCCAAAAACCCCGGCCTAAGACAGCCATTGACTGCAAACACAGCAAATCACAACCTCTCCCCCAAGCTCGAAGAAGCCATGGTGGCACATTGGTTAAGGTCTCAGCTGCTAACTAAAGGTTGGTGGCTTGAATTCACTAGTGACTCCATGGGAGAAAGACGAGGCTTCCATCTGCCTCAGAAGCCCTACGGTGCAGTTCTACTCTGACCAGACCATGGTGGGTTTGGTTTTCTGGCTTTTCCTCAACTCTCCCTTATCTGCTCCTCCTCCCATGTCCAGAACACATTCTCAACATATATGCTATTTGTTTACTGTCTGTCTCTCACCCACTGGAGTGGTAAGCTCCAAGAGGACAGACTTATGTGAGTTCCCTGATAGAATTCTCATGTCATTAAAACAGTAAGGCACACATAGCAGGTATCTAGGTGAAGGAATAAATAAATGGTGTAGGAACTGGACCCCAAAGAACTTGGCTTGTTGTTGTTAAGCGCTGCGAGTAGGTTTCGACCCATAGTGACACTTATTAGGGTTTCCACAGAGCAGCTGGTGAGCATTAACCACCAACCTTGTAGTTCAGAAGACTTTGCAGTCCGGTGCATTAACCCATAGCGCCACGACTACATATTCAGCAATGGAGGCGTGGAAGTGGGTTGGGAAAACTAGGAGAACCGAAGGAAGACCAAGCAATATGATCCAACTGGAGAAGGCAGGAAACCTGCCTTATCTATCTTTTGGGGCCAGTTCCAGGGGAATAACCCCAACTTGGGTCCACATGAGACCCTCAGTAAAAGACTTCAGAGTAAACATGGGTCAGAGTAGAAGGTGGTCATCCCACACCCTGAACACTGAATCCACCTCCTCCTGAAACAGCTACTCGAATAGCTGGTGGAGCTACAGGATAATGTACTGGACCACAAGGTTGGTCGGTTTGAACTGCAGGGTCAGCAGTTCAAACTCACCAGCCACTCCTCCAAAACCTTATACAGGGTTGCTATGGGTCGGAACCAACTCAATGGCAACTAATGATAACAACTGCTCGAATATTAAATTTGGTAATAGTCCTGGTGTGGCGCTGTGGGTTAATGCGCCAGTCTGCAAAGCCGTTTGAACTGCAAGGTCGGTGGTTCAAGCTCACCAGCTGCTCCTTGGAAACCCTGTACAGGGTCACTATGGGTCGGAACCGACTCGATGACACTTAACAACAACAACAACGTGACCTAACACCATCTCTAAACAGCCAAGTACAAGAACGTCCCTCGGCAGCTGCAACAGACTGCTGTGTTCTTTGTTTCCAGCTATCTGCTGGGCACCAAGAAGAGCTGAGTGCGTACTACTTAAGTTCTTCATTTCTATCAACTGATTCCTCGCAGCAGCATCAATATCCTCGCTTCACAGAGGAGGAAACCTAAGTGTTGGGTCCACACAGCTTCCAAGCAGCAGACCGAGTTCCTGACACTGCCTCCATCAACTGGCATCTGCCACTTGTCCTGTCAGAGGTCAGCCTTGAAGGTGGGGGCTACCACTAATACTTCTAAGTGTAAGTCCCTTCTCTGCCTCTCTCTCACGAGTTCCTCCTCCACACTACTTCCAGCTACTTCCCCACCTCCTTTGTCATTTCTGTGCTTGAGTGTATGTTTCCTGGTTTTGGTGGGCTTCCTCCCAGGTTCTTAATGCCAATGGACTTTTCTAGTTGTTAAAAGATGGCTGATGGGTTAAACTGAACAAAAAAAACAACTCTGACTGTTTAAACTAATGAAGAGCTTTCTCCACAATTTACAAGTAAATACTTAACATGCTGTTTAACCAACCTTCTGTAACTCTGATTTCTGAAGAATGGGATTGTAAATAATGATGCCACCTGCCATGTTCTCCCTACACAGGAGCCACTACGATACAAGGGGCCTTCAAAGGTTTGGGGAAAACTGAACTGACAACATAATGTGTTCGCATCAGTACATGCTTCTGAGGCCATACTGCATGCCTCATCTCCACACCAGGAAGCAGACCGCTCGGTTCTCAGTCCCTCCCTCCTCGTAGATTCTAATCTCTGTGTGCCACCCTTCTCCCTATTGTGGTGGTTCTGGTTTATGAACTAGAAGAACAGAATCCACCACCACCCCCAACACACACACACCACAAAATACCTCCTGTAGGGTGCCAGTCTAGCTAAATATTCTTAGTATACAGGAAGCATCTGATTACTGGAAGGTGGTTGCAAGTTTCATCTTTCTGAGTAGTTTGAAGTAAAACAATTAGCAAAAGCAAGTATATCAGCACTTCTAAACTGCAAAGCTGTTTGCACTGCAACGTCGGCAGTTCAGGCTTACCAGGTGCTCCTCGGAAACACTATACACAACAGTGTCGCTATGGGTCGGAATCGACTCGAAGGCACTCAACAACAACAATCAGCTAATAACAAAAACCATTCTGATATTACTCCATCATTAAAAAGCATCAATGTAAAAAGTTTTCAAGTATATGATAAAGAATGACAAATGCTTAAATACCTTGTTTTTGTAGTGAAAACAAATGTAGTAAGGAAAATCTGACACGCCAAAGGAGTAAGTCACTAAGGCAGTTGCATGAGGGGACTTCAAAAAGTTCAAGGAAAAACGG